TCTTGCCTTTTTATTTATGCAAATAAATTAATTTTCGCTGGAATTTTGACAATTTCGCACAGCTTTAAAGAGACCTTGTTTTTGTCCAGGGAAGTAATGAAGTTGAAACTTGGAACAACTTTTCTCATTTGTTCCTTTACTTCGAAGTTGCCTTTCACGATGTCAGCTCGTGTTATCCGGTGGATTAATTTTATACGTGGGAAGTCATAGAATCACCATTGTGGCAACACTGTAAAAGCTAATTTAAAAAAGTGTCTTTCAGAAAATGACAGCAATAGGAAAAAAGGACCACATTGCTGAAGGTAAAAGCAATAAACTATACAAAAAAAACTAAATTTAAGTTAAATAAAACAATTGTAACGGTTTAAAACCCGATTTGATTTATATAAAAAGACACACTTATGTATAAAATGGACGGACTTTGCGGTTTCCACTAGTGAATTAAGCTTGGTGTTTTGTAATTGAAGTTTTTACAATGCGCCACCGCTAAATAGCCATACTTTATATTTTAAGCAATTAAGTAGAAAAAAAATCCAAATACATCTAAATCAACGGATTTAGATCAAATTTTGCTGAACTCAGCATATATCATTTTTAATAGAGAGAGTGTACTGTACGTTACTTATTGCAGTGTTACTAAAGTGTATGCTATTTGTTACAGCCTAGGCATCATAAGAATAGAATTAATTAGGACCTTGTGTGGGAAGGCTCTTACAACAATACTGTTGCCCTCGTAAACTATTTTATGGTAAACAATCGAATAAACCAGTCGTTTGTATTCCGCGTTGCTGTTTTCCAAGTGAAATGTACGAGGTCCCTGTCTCTTGGTACTGTATAACTTGCTTTCTCAGTTTCTTGAAACTGTTTTTCTTTGAAGGCCTCCTTTGTGCCAGTATTAATTAAATTGCGGGATAAAAATTACCACAGCTTTCTCGCTCACGGCTTCCCTTTGACGTGGAAACTTTTTCGTGTTTTTTTTAATATCTGTTTTTAATTGTATGAAAAGAACGGTTAAAGTAATTATTTACTGAGTAAACATGCTTTGACTTAATGAATTCGTTTAATATTGTCGGCATTAGTCAGATGTTATAGATAAAGGGACGGTGAGTCTTTTTTCAGATCACCAATAAGTATTTTATAATATTATCCAATTTCTGAATGTTCAAAACCAATATAGCTCGACAGCACATTTTAATTTTATTTTATAAGGTAGGATTATTTTAACTCCATGCTTGTATTTCCTCTACCGTCATAAAAAATCCAATAAACTAATTTATAATTTTTCAGGAACTAGTGGACTTTGTCAGGAAATCTGGATATTAAATGGGTGCTAGGACTATCGAAATTCCGTTCGGGTAGCGAAACACTATCCTAAACAAAAAACCGTCAAGTTTAATGGCGTTTCAGTTTTAGTGTGGGGATTTTACAAATATCTAAAGACAAAGGTCGATAGCACATCTTGTTTAGATTAAATGGCTGGAGTGTTTCACCTACCCTCAAGTAAACCTCGTTGTTTGTTCCTCTATTATAAAAAAATATAATTATCTACCATTACACTACTGTTTAGATAGTTTTTCATCACCATCAATCACAAAGTCCACACAGGGGAGATATCAAAGTTGAGTGCTATGTAAATACGGGTTCCGTGAGCGGATACAATAGCAATTATTTGTTACCGGCTCACCGAAGCTTTGACAAAGGACTTTAATTAATATGTGGAGGCTCTACGCCAATATTGCTTCCTGATGCAAAGTCATGTATGTACTATGTACCTGCTACCTCGCGTCTGTAATATATTATGTAAAGACTTCATAAAGGTACGTAACGTAATGCTCCCGGTGTATGTGTGTTTTGGAATTTTGGAATTTTGGATATGTTGGAAATTGAACCCATTGATTTGATTTGTTCTTACGTTATCATTAAATTGCCGAGCCAGTCAAAAAATCGATGCTAATATATGAAGCTGAAGAGTTTGTTTGTTTGTTTCTTGAACGGATGATCTCGGGAAGTATTGGTTCGAATTGATTTTTTTTTGTGTTGCTTAGAGCATTCATCGATGAAGGCTATGCGATGAATTGTAAAAAAATAGGGAAAATTATTCGTCCTCGTGTTTTTCTATGCGTTCTCTGCGGAAACGGTTGAATATACTCAATAAATATGTTTCAAAGAATGATTCCACTTTTAATGGTCTCTCATTTGGACCTACAAGAACGATGACGTCGTGGGTAACTGCCATAGTTTCTAAAGATGTGGAGGTGGTTCTTAAAAAACAAATTTAAATACTCAAAAGAACTATTTTACGCATACGAAGTCGCGGACACAACTAGTAATATATTTTATATACAGTTTTAAAACTGTACATTCTCCGTTAAGACAACAATATGACATTTGTTGTAAACTTTAATTTCAAAATTAACCAGCGAGTTACATAAATATTAAGTTTTGTTTGTAGTTTTGTGAAGTTTCAGAGCTCGCTGCTCGTTCGTTGAAATCTCGAAGGTTCTTAAAGCACAACAGATGTTTTAATAACCACGTCGCATTTGTTCCATGAATTTATTTTCAAAGGAAAGTGTATATTTTAGTTAAGTTATATAGGTATCAGTGCATTTTGCAGACAGTTTCTAGTAAGTATGTATAAGGATTTTTTATATATGATAGTAAAGCTAAACGCGCGTTTTTGATATTGTTTTTTTATAGTCATTATTCTAAAATTAACCTTCTTTTTAAAAGCTAGTGGGTTTTCTTGTTGGGGTTTAATTAATGGCGCTGTCATTCGCTTGTGATGGCGAAATGTCGAGAACCACTTTTCAATCAACTTCACCAATTCACTAATCACTACATATAAAGATAAATTCATCATACCACCGTCGGTCAGGTCCTCACACCAATAGGCCGTACGGCCCTCGGAACAGCGGAGCTTATTTGATTCACTGTTGACCTATTTGTTTGGTATATTCGGAAACGCGTAGGCTGCAACAGAAACGCGATTAAACTTGACGAATTGTTAACTATGAACGGTGGTTCATGATCCGGGCGAAATGTTTGTCGTGTGGGTGTTGTCAGACCGACATGTTTCAGAAAATTATGAATTAATTTGAAACATGTTTGTTTTGATTGAACTCAAGACCACTTGTTTATTGGCCATACATTTCTACTTTTAGATCGACATGTTTGGTTTTTTAAGGTTAGGTGTAAACCAAATAAACTACAATATAGTTGCAATATTAGTTTACCTCTCCGATGTATGAATTCCTGCATCCCCTGAATTTGTTCAGCGCAAATACAAACATGAAACAGTCCAACTGCGATAAATATATAGTGCAATTCGTTGTGCGTACGCGTTCTGCGAGACAAGTATCGAGGTATTTGCTCAGCATACAAATGATATTGGCAGGTGGTTTAATATCGGGTGTTTCGAGTTCATTTTGTTTTTTTTTTCGTTCGCTATTAATATTTATCGCGCGAAACTTAAAATGCGTATAGTGTATTTTTTCTTACAAAGACCACAACAAATATGGCCAATTTCAAACCATAGAGAAGTGACCTTTTATAGAGTGAAGTTGTTGCCACAGATTACACAAGGGTAAAGAATTGTCGTTTATATATGGATCTAACGAGCTCAATATTAAAAATCACTTTTATAACGTTTCTTAATTTTTTAAGTCTTTATTATTTAACACGTTTGACGCTTTTCAGCGATAGTGCATGATGAGTGGGACTTCTACCGTCTGTTTTAGTTGACTTTGCTTACATCCTACTGCTAAATATATGCGCACAGGTTCATAAAGGTATAAAATATAACCATCCAAGTATTGTCTATAGTATATATCAATAATAATAAGATGATTATTAACGTTTATTTATTTTCTTTTGAATTCCGAAGTAGTTTTTAATGTTAATATAGCTTCGACTTAGGTACTGAAAGGGTTTAAATAAGGGTTCATTGGTTTCGACAGATTGTTAGATAAGTGATTTTGTTGAAATAAAACACTTACTTTTAAAATAGGTTAATTAATACCTTTTGCGCTTAAAGCCGTTAATTGTATCCTATGAAACAATGGAACTAAAATAATAAAATGTTTGTTAGGTCGATCCCCACCAAGTCCAACACGTTTGTCAATCATTGTCCTGTTATTTTTTTATCATCCATCTATATTTTTCTAATCTTATCGTCCAGTTTAAATATGGCTATGACCACATATCGGTTTACAGCTATCTTTCTTTTATTTATCATTAGTTATCTTCAAATTCTGCGTTATGCAAAGCCCTAATCGATGAAACTATTTCATGAAGATTGTTATATTCATTTTAAAGATGCCCTTGATGCGCTAATACGGTGCACCATGTAGTGAAGACTCTGCGAAGCTGTAAACGAGCTTGTCTTTTATAAAACAACAACGGGTCGTCGGTTCGAACTCCCCCATCCAATACTAAATCAATTAATAATTTTTCAGAAACACTTCAGACTCCGTTTAAAAATCTGAATTTTAAATGGATAGCAGTTATATTGAATTTCTGTCTGGGTTATAAACCACCTTATTAACTGATGGAAAACCCGTAGTGTGAGTTTCCTTTCGATGTCATCTTGTAGATTTATGACGATGACAAGTGCATCGTCATTGTGCTTTACAGTTATGTGGAGGGTAGAAAGAAAAACTATAATATAAGAAAATATCTGTATTATGTTATCGCTTAAATTAATACATGACAGTTAACCTTTGTGTGACGTTTTTCACAGTACATGTACTGTTTTATTTAATCTATGCAGCTATTGAGACGTGGAATCAAACAATAAAAACACTGGCATTAAGAACATGGTGACTAGTTGGTCCATAACAAAATAAACACGACGATATTGTACATTTCTTCGACTACCTTCTTCGTGGCTGCAGCACCATAGAGAGCGTATCACTGAGAATTCAAGGTAAACCAAACCAATTGTTACCTCTTCTATGTTATAGAGAGTTTCTTCATCCGTCATCCAAGCATTTACGAAATAGTCAGCTCCTCTCGTCTATATTGGCTAGAACGTGGGTGTACAGATGATGCTGTTCAACGTGGACTAAATCATATTTGAGGGTGGACAAGCCGTCCTTTTCAAGTGTTTTACTGGTTTCCAATAGAAGCTTAAACCTGGGGAAATAAAAGCGATTACTTTTATATATATGACGAGCGCTTCCATGATCTATTATATTAAACTTCTGTTGCCACTAATGCGTGAGCTACTGTGTTCTGTCCGGGATTATTAAATTTCTCTGAACAATCTATTTATATAATTATAACGTTAACACATCTTTTTTTCAGTATGTAATATTTTTAATTCATAATAGCTCTAATTTCATTAAAAGATGTTTGTGACTCAATTGGATTACAGTTTTTATAAATTACAATGAAATAAAGAAAATAAATGGTACCTTTTCGGATTCGGTGCCGATTCTTCATGATCAAGCATTGTATAAACAGCTATGGACATATTGTACCTCGTAATGTGGTAGTGCATCTTCTTCATCCTAGTGAAAAGATCTCATAATAAGAAATGATGATAATTTCCATCAGAAATATTCTACCGCAGTATCATCTAATCATACCTATGAAACATGTCGTCGTCTTCTCCACCCCAGCCCCAGTATCTATTGGAGAAGCCGTTGACCTTCGTGAACTGTTCCAAGGTCATTGCAGATACGCCACCGAAGATACCATCATAAGGTAATCTAGAGTAACAATATAAAAAAGTAATAAAAAAAACTCTTCACAATTATAGATTCTTATTAGCAAAGTAAATAAAAGTTGGCATATACAATTTGACCAAACTCACGTAAACTTTAGTTTATCGATGGATGCGGACATGTGCCGCGGTTGCTCCGGGCATGAATACAAATTTCTAGAGTCCAGAGGCAGCAGGTCAATATCGTGGAAAATGAAGCATTGCCAACCGCCAGGCTTCTTCTTTTGGCTTTCGACAAAACCAATATTCATTAGCTTTGCCCGGTTAAAGGCGCTAGTGTCTGGAATAGGTACATTATAGATATTTGTATAGTCATAGAATACTCTAAGGACAAACAACTACATTTTAAATTGCTATCTCTTCCAAACAAACACAGTGCAAAGAAAATCAGTGTGATATAAAGTATTTGTGAGAGCTAAAAGATATTTAAACTAAATATAATAAAAGGTGATCGCAATTCTTCAACACCTAAAAACAAACTAAACATACTGTTATTAGCTATGACTTAGTCCTTGTAGGATTGAGAACGTGTCCTTCTGAGATCAGCAAGAAAATCAATCTAAGTTTCATTTCTTACGTGGTATGAGGAAGTATTAAAGTGTGGTCAAATGGGAAGGATAGCGAGATTCAGTTATCTACGATCACTACTAGTTTAAAATTTTCTTTCTTACCGTTTTGTTCAACAATAAAAATTCCATATTCTATTTGCTGCTTCATAAGAAACGGATGCATGTGGTTCAAGAAAATCGCCAAGTGCTGATGGCGATCCCTAAAGTAAGAATATTGCAACAGCTTAGTAAAGTTATAAAAGTAATAATTAGATATTCGCACGAGGTTTAGATAAAATGCAACATGACCTCTTAAGTTTCTTGAATGATTTCCTATAACCAGCTTTGTAGTAATTTTATTAAAAATTTACTTCATAGCTCGCTATTTCTATTTAAACTCTTTTAATCATTCTTAATTGTATATTTATTCATTTTATCAATGTATATTCGGTATCACATTTTTATCAATTCGAAAATTAGTTGATTAGTTGATATAAGATTAAGTTGCAATTGAATATAACAGCTAAAAATATTGCCTATACTTATTTAGTAGGATAAACTTTTGCATTTGTAAAATAGATATTTCTTGTCTTGTCACTTTGGACTCTTACCTGAATGGCACAATTATGGCTACTTTATGCCTCGCCGTACAGTTTGGTGGTGAATAGAATCCTCCACTATCGACTTCGGGATATTTCTTCTCCACCCAATCTAGTTCCATTTCCGTTTTATTGGCAGTAACTGGACCTATATACACAATTTTACATTGGTAATAGCTAGCTAGAAAAACTAATTGCATATTTATAGATGAGATTTCTTTTACATTCTTTATTAAACTAATACTTTAATGTACCTCATCATGTTTGAGGTCAGGAATGATGGCAAGAAAACCAAATAAAGCTTTGGATATTGAGATACCTATATATATCAGAAGGTCCGGTTGTCAAGATTAAACTTTAGTAATCTGTTCCAATCTTGCAATTGGGCCCGTAGGCTTTTGAAAATAAGTAGGTTCTAATGAAATGGGCGAGGTTGAAATAACCAGGAATATATCAGGGATTACAGTTATAGATTAGATTAGATATACGAATAATAGGTTAATTTTTCCCGGTACATTATCATTTCATATCGCTACTATTGTTGTATTCATTTCAAAATATATAGATAATATAGTCGATAAATAGTATGTGATGTTTTTGTCTGTGTATTTGACCCAAATTATGAAAGATTTATGCAAGTAATTAACTATCTTTTGAAAATACATCAATTTATCATTATTTATTTTGCTTATTACTACTAACGTCAATAGATCTTACCTAAATCGGGTGGTACTTCATCACAAACCGGCATAGATTGTTCGTTGACCTGCGTCGTGTCTTCGCTTACCAAATTTCTTAAGCTCTCCATTATTTTGTTGAGTAAATGTGGGGTTCTGACGTATTCGGTTCCATTTTGTCCCGTCATACTTTGTGTCGAGTTTTGGCTTAGAGTGTTTTGGATAAAGAGAGGTAGATTAAACCAGGGTTGTGATTTCCGTACGTCAGTTCTGCAACACAGAGACGGGCTGGTGATAATTCGTGTCAAAAAGTAGATTCATTGGAACACTTTTGTCTTTATGCAAAAGATCTTTTTTTAATTCCCATATTGAGATGGCTAATATATTGTACGGAATCAAATAGCCAAAATTGCAGCTCAACTTTGAGGCAATCAGTGAGTTTTAACTGTGTTAATTACAAATATAATACAGTACAGACAATTATGACAACATAGTAATTAATAAATGCCAACGATATTCTAAACCAGAACGATATAAAACGTGTAATCATTCATTGCGTGATAGTGATGGCACGCTGATGAAAAGCTTCGCACCTTTTTAACGTGTTTATATTCGTAGTCTACGTAGTGCATATCCATAGAAAAGTTAGAAGATTCCGAGAATCCTTCCACACTAAACGCTTATATTATACAATCTTTTACGAAAATATATAATGTTCACCGGTTGCTTTAATCATTGTAGCACTAATGAAGAGATTTTATATTAAGTTCATTAGTAATATGGCGTATATTGTTACCATATTACCAATCAAGCCGTGTTTAAAAAGTCAGTGTATTTTTTTTAAACATGTAAGAGTAGCATTTAATAGGTGGTATATATAAAAATTCCTGGGTCACAAACCGCAGTTTATAGATGGAATAGCCGTAAAGGAATCGAATTTAAGCTTCAGACAGGATTTTCGAAAGGCCCAAACCAAAATAGGTCGATAACACATCGTGTTTAATGTTATATAACTGAACTATTCCACCATTTATCAAGTGTGCCCTATTGCTTGTATCGTCCTCTGTTATAACACATCGATAAGTTAAGGAACAGATAATGGATCCAAAGGTTTCCAACAAAGTGCGATATGGGCCTTTTGTCTCTTTACACGTAATTTGACTAAATTGAAACCTAACTTATGACAACACGAATCGTATGTAAAGAATAAACTTTTTTCCTTACTCGATCGTAGACTGCGTTATATTGAAGGCTGGCGTGCCGAGGTAGGTGCGAAGGCCGAAGAGGTACTCGACGGCGGCTAACGCTACCACCACCAGCAGCAGCAGCTTAAGCATCCACGCTCTTCTACCACAGCCCATAACGCTTATGCACTCATCAAGTTCTTAAGCCCTCTACGAGTAGAACGTTCAAGTAAAAATTTGTGCTACACACTTTTAAAACAAATACACATTTTACTGGTATGTCTCTAATTGTTCAATATCTATTGTACACCATATTAAAAGCTATTTTAATATTTAAAAAAAAAACATTTAAGCAACACTTTTTACTTTTAAATAAAACACTTTAACGGTTTAAAACGCGACATATTAGTTAAACATATTTAAAAAAATATTTTAAAAATAAGTTTAACTAATATATTAAAAAATAAGTTTAACTAATATATAGCGTTTTAAACCGTTAAAGTGTTTTATTTAAATGTGTACTACTCGCGTAAACTATAGACAGTATCAATTCTAGTTTTTATTTCTAGTTTTTTTAGCCTACTCTTTTTATAAAAAAACTGCTTTTCAAAGACTAAGGACGAACCTGTCCATACATATTTGAAGAGTTTTTAGCCTATATGCAAGACCTTGGTCTAGTGTCCGCAGTCAGCAGGTGTTCGGTACACTATAGGGGCGGTTCGACGCTTGCCGAAAGCGTGGTTATCGCTTATCGGATTATCTGCTTATCGGAAAAAATATTTTTGATATGGAATCGCGTTTTAGCCTATGAGCAATCAAAATTAACCTCATGGCATCTTCTAGATCTCTATTGCCTAAAGAATAACACCGATTTACACAACACTATATTCTGTTCTGTAATATATCTTGAAATAAAAAACTTAAAACTAGCTTTTAGAAATAGTTTCATTACAATTGTTGACAATGATTATAAAAAAAAGCATCGCAATGTACTGGCGTTAAAGGAAATGTGACTTCCCCTTTTTAATTGTAACAATTATCTTTATCTCTCGTAACGAAATCGGTGTAACTTTGTATGTACAAAATCATATGTATTATTCGCTGATAACGATTGTGCAAAACGGGAAAGACAAAGAATCCTCTTAAGATAGTTTTCGCCGAAAAAAAGTATTCAATATTAATCTGTTAATAGCTGTCTTTTTTCGCAACATTTATTGGAAGGGTTTGAATGAGTTTAGGGTTTAAACGAAGCTAAGTTGTCTAAAAACAATTAAAGAGATTTGGGGATAAAAAAACATACTTTTAGAAAATTGGGCATAATATAAACATTGTCTACGTAAGTAGTACATAGATGAGGCCCTGTCAAGGGACCATGCCGTAACAATGTATAGCAAATAACTATCGTGGGATCTAATACTGAATACTCGATTTAACTGTGTTCTTCATATCTGTACATCATTATATCATATCTGACGTTTCCTACATATCTATATATTTCCATAATCTTATCATCCGATTTCCCTGTCGCAATGACTGTATTTTTATTTCCCTCCATCGTTTGTTGCTCATCGGAATTCTTAGCTATTTCCTGGTGACAATACTTAACGTATTAACGGTTTAAAACGAGAAATATACAAGTTAAATTATTTAGAATTTATTTAAACTACAATCCCGACGTATGAATTCAAAGAATTGTGAAATTCGAATTTAATTATTATATTTTGCAATCGTTGTTAGTCTTTATTAACAAATACTACACGCGTAAAACTACGGACAGCTTAAATACTGTCTATAGTTTACGCGAGTAGTACACATTTAAATAAAACACTTTAACGGTTTTAAAACGCGATATATTAGTTAAACTTATTTGAAAATTATTTTTAACTTCGGCCCGACGTTTCGGAATCCTTGCAGCCAGCCGTGGTGTTCCCCACACGCTCCAAAGCATCCAAACGTCGGGCCGAAGTTAAAAATCATTTTCAAATAAGTTTAACTAATATATCGCGTTTTAAACCGTTAAAGTGTTTTATTTAATACGGACAGCTTGTTCTATTTAATAAAGATCTTATAAATATAACTAAAATATAATACTTCTTACAAATAAAACAACGTAATTATGTAGAGTCAAACTAATATATTGATAAAACAATTATACACAAATGCAAAATTAAAAATGATCAATTAAATTATGTTTGTTCACATGAGTCTGAGGAACATATTTGTGGATCTAATTATCTATTGACTGTGGTATTATATACAGATATCACTTTATACATAATATTACAGCTTAAAAAATATTGCTGCTAACACATATATCTGAATTTGCTCATTTTGATTGAATAAACTTATATTAAACCGCTGCCTAGGAAATGATTTGAGAGATATTTAAAAGAGGATCAATATTGCTTGCGATAACTACTATTTAATTTCTCAAACAATAATGTGTTTTAAACATTCTTCAGACAACAACATATATTGTTATTATTTGTACAAATGCCTACTTTCGGTTACAAACAACACATTTGTGTAAAGTTATTTACGATAATTGACTTGAAGACGAGAAGTTACGGTTAACTTAAGATAAAAAATACAACAAGATCGTTCTAAATTAAAAATTTCATTTAATCTCACATATCACAACTCTGTAAAGCAAGCCGTAATAATTTTGAGTTATTTTGGTCTTAAACAAGAACGATGTTTACAAACGAGAAACTTAACGATCAAAAGCTATTTACAAATAAGTACGCTTTTAGTCAGATGCAAACTTTAAATGATTTCAGGTTTCAGACAGATTCAGACAATAGTTCCATAGAATACAGAATCAACCGAATTTAAAAACTCTTTTCAATTATACAAATTATAATTCTTTTGGTTGTTTTTTCGACAAATTTATTATTTACAGTTCAATAGCCGTATTCAATTTGTAGCAAGACGTCATCGGAAGACAGATTACAAAATTTTCGTATTAATGCATAACAAACGACCAAAAATAGGACAACGCACCGTTTTAGATGTTATACGACTAAGGGCACCAACCCTCCACCTTCCATTGTGTCATAACGGTTACCAGATGAAATCATTTAAATTTTGAACCCAACTATCCTTAACAGCTATTTATGTGTATAAGAATTTTTTTACATATGATAGCAGAAATCAATAACAAATTTACAGATATTTTAAATTCATACTTTGTATGTTTTATTAGGCCTAAAGCACAGTTATGGTAGGGATAAGATGCGATTTTTTTCATCACAATCTGCTGCTGGTGACAATTCTCTTGTTTACACAACAAAATGAGGTGTTTTGTCAAGTTACAAATTGTCATTACTAAAAAGATGTTAGTCTATCAGATTTAGCACAAATAGCACTGGGATACTCATTCGGGTATCACTCTACGAGCTATTATTGTCGATGATAACAGATTTAACACGAAAGTTACAATAGGTTAAACAAAAAAGTATAAAGTAATCAACAAACAATAAAAGCACACAAAAAAGCAATAAAATATGCGTCTAAAAGATTAATTATTATCAATACACCTTAATACATCCCTTAGTCTACATACAACGACTACATAAAACGCGTTATATCACTGACTCTAATCTTCGATATAAGATTTTAGGGTTTTGATTAAAATTAGTTTCAGGTAGAATACTGACTCAGAATAAGTACATTTATAGGATCCAGCTTGTAATAACTTTGGACGGCTATAATCAATTTCAAATTCAAAGATTGTAAAAAATTGAAATATTCACAATTATACGAACAGATCGGAATATTCTACAAAAAACAAATGACATCTACATACGGGACAACTGAGAGAATATAACTTTGAAACGATTATCTTAGTATGAGATTCAAGTTTAAAATTATATGTTAATAATGTTAAAATATCGAAGATACACTTAGTCTTAGGCCTGGCTGTCTGAATGTTACACATTTTATAAAAACCTTTAAGCTATTGACTAAACGCTCGCAGTATAATTGCGATACGTAACACGTAACATCACGAACCGCGAGCATTCAGGTCAGTACCCAGCTTTTAAATGCTTATTCTAATGAAATAGAAAGATCTTAATAATTAAATATAACGGAAGAGTTTTACATAAGCTAATATCGTTGAAGCCTTTAGTTTTATTACCTTCTATATTATGTATATGTAATTTTATGTTCCCAATTAAGGCCGTCGTCTCCTCTATTGTTTTGCAGAAACGTGCTATTCGAGCGATTCGCGGTCTTTCCCCACGAGAGTCTGTTCGAAATAAGTGTAAATTTATTATGAAAAGGTTTTTTATGAGAACAAACATTATAAGTTACAAGGATAAAATACGTCTATCATCCTAACTCCATAAAACATAATAACTTCCAAGGTATTACGGCAAAAATCAATACACAAGTTTATATTGTATGTTAAATACTACTTGTAAATGATTATTATAATGTAAATTAATAAATGATAACTACGCTTAGGGTTTGAAAGAACGCGCTCTAACAAAGAAATGGAGTGCGTAAGGAACTTGTAACAAAAAGTTTATGATAAAAGAAGTGGCGGCGAGTTTCTAGACTGGGAACTGTACAATTTAATTTTTAACTTCTTGATGTTCATAAGTATACGTAGTTTAAATAAATTCTTTCATTTTGTAAACAACGTATGACGCAGAGGGAGACAATATTAAAAACTTAAAAACTTTGTAAACAGTCCGGACTATAAATTACATTGAAAGAGACCACGGCCTTAGTTGGACATAATCCGCTACTTATGTTCGATTACAAGGAGATCATAACAACTCTAGGTAACCATTGAATATGTAAAGCTATCGTAATTCGACTTAACTGCAAATCATTCAACCTCTTTAAAGTCAGATCGACGGAGTTAACGTAGATTCCTAATTAATAAATCATTAAAAAAAATACAAAAATAAATCGCAAAAGCAAGCAAAATAAACCTTATCTCTAAGTGATGTTAACCAATTGTAAATGTTTGTACATAATACATAAAGTTAAATAACGATTCCAAATTCCATCTTTGTTAATGCCTTAAATTACTGTAGTCACTTGTAAATGTGATCGATAAGTCTCTCTAGCTAATGGTTTAGTTATCATCAAAAATGACTGTCATTAAAAAATGTGTTTACATGTCACAAACGAAAGTATTATGTTTTAGTATTATATCGTCTGTACTCTATGTAAGAAATACACATTTAAATAACACTTTTAACGTTTTGAAACGCGAATTATATTAGTTAACGTATTTTTAACTACGACCCGACGTCTCGAACTCCTTGTAGCAGCCGTGGTTACGAGAGTCACCACTTGCGCGTTCAAACCGTGAAGTGTTTTATTTAAACATTAGTGATGTACCAATCGCTTTGTTTTATCGTAAGTAAAATTTAAAAAAGCCTTAGCATAATTCCGTATCGACCTTATTAGCTCTCTTATACTTCATGCCTTTTATATCATTTCATATGGTTTATTTGACATGTTAACTAATTACTTAACGAACTCTGTTTAAAACTGTGTTCCTCAGGTCTATTCGGGACTCAATTGAAGACATTTGCAGTTACTTCGTCCAAGCACTTCGGCGGTCCGTTACCGCGCGTCGCCAAACAGGAGTTTGGCGAAATACGTGCGTCAGCTCCTCTCGTCTATATTGGCTAGAACGTGTGTGTACAGGTGGTGTTGTACAACGTGCACTAAATCATATTCTAGGGTTGACAGGCCGTCCTTTTGGAATGTTTTACTGGTTTGCGATAGAAGTTGATACCTGGGGAAATAACGGAAGTACAATGTCTATATTTCTGGATACTCTTTTAAATATTAAATCAACGCTTTAGTTCTTTCGATTATCACTATTACTATTCATTTATTAAAAAACCAAAGACAAAAAGTTGGGATTAAAAAAAAAACCTTACCTTTTCGGATTGGGCGCTGATTTTTTATGGTCAAGCATTGCATATCGAGCTATGGACATCTTGTATCTCGCTATGTGGTAGTCCATTTTCTTAATCCTGATAAAAAAATGTTCAAAGATATAATAAGAGACATCTTTTTACAAATCGAATAAGAAATATCCTTCCGCAGTAAGAACTAATCATACCTATAAAACATGTCGTCGTCTTCTCCACCCCAGCCCCAGTATTTATTGGAGAAGCCGTTGACCTTCGTGAACTGCTCCAAGGTCATTGCAGAAACGCCTCCGAAGATATCTTCATATGGCAATCTATGAAATACAAGCATGACGTTCCATAAGTAGCTGTTAGAAATAAGTTAATAGAAACGGTCAAGGGACAGTTGTACTGTATAAGTTAAATCGATACCAAATATATGGTGAAGTTAAATATAGACAAACTAGCTTTGTCAGCGACTTCGTCCGTTTCTGCGTGTTATTTTGTGAATCAAAATTTTGTTTTTGCAAATCTTTTTAAACTTATTGCTGTTGTTTTTGTTGTGCGGCGTCTTTTTTTGTCAAGTTAATCTTAAAAGATAGACATATACTGTCGCAGACATTTTTTAAGATCACATAACAAGGAATCATTCGTACAGAGATATTTCTTGGGTATCTTGAACTATTCCTACGCATCAGAAACACACAAAAATGAATAATTTTCCAAGTTTTCTTCACATTTCCGATCCTATTAATTGCAGCACGATGTTTTATAGCCTCTTACCGACACAAAAGTATTTAATTCCCACCAGTAGTTCTTGAGTTAGTGCGTTCAAACAAACAAACTCATCAGTTTATTAGTATAGATATACGAATTAAAATTGAGTAGGCGACTTGACTACACTTACTTAAAATGTAGTTTATCGATGGATGCGGACATATGCCGCGGTTGCTTCGGGCACGAATACAGATTTCTAGAGTCCAGTGGCAGTAGGTCAATATCGTGGAAAATGAAGCATTGCCAACCGCCAGCTTTTTGTTTCTGGCTTTCGACGAAACCGACGTTCATTAGCTTCGCCCGGTTGAAATCGCTAGAACCTGGAAAGCGTAGTTATGAAATATCTTGCCTAAATTATAGGACTTTTATTAAATTAATAACAAACATCCTAATTATAATATTTTTATTATTGACTTCCTCCTCTATACTTTTTCTTTCGAATATCTAAAGCCAAAATAGACGACAGCGCATCTTGTGTAGATGTTATATAGGCTGGGCCTCCTCTATTATTAAAAAATAATAATTAGACATGCCATTAATTAAAACTCACCTTCTTGTTCAACAATAAAAATTCCATATTCTACTTGCTGTTTCATAAGAAACGGATGCATGTGGTTCAAGAAGATCGCCAAGTGCTGTTGGCGATCCCTAAAAAAATAAAGATTTTTTTTTTATATATTTCTGCAAAAACTTTTAATTGGCTTTCTGGTATCCATTTTTCCGACTATCCAATTGTACTAGCTGTAAGTTTTCCGTGTGTAAGAATAATGCTATAAAAACATTTATTCGTTATGTAGACAGCGATTTTCAGCACGAATTTCTATTCATTGGATAACTATGGGTATTTATCGCTCCGACCGGTTGAAGAGTATTATCGCAAGAGCCATCTTGTACGATTTATCGTGACGTCACAGTCGAGAAAGAAGGGCTTAAGCGCCCGCTGTAATTGTTGTTTTACGTTTTATTGTTTTAGCTCTTTGCTCAGGTTAAACCCAGTTACGAGGTTATAAAGAGGCGATTAGAGGCTTTTATTGTGTTGTCGTTTGGCGTTAATTTTGCTTAATTTAATTCCGCGTTGTTAAACGCGAATAATGAAGTAATAATAGTGGTCGAGGCATAGTTGTAAAACTCTCGTCTAAAATCAATTTACTTAATATATAAAAGTTATTTACGTAAAATACTATAACAGTTTAAAACGTGAAGTATATTAGTAAGTTCTAACTCCGCGTATGCCTCAATGGGTACTACTCACGTAAACTACAGACAATACTTAATATTAAAGTCAATTTTTATTGAAATTTAGGTGTTAAACTAACACAGTGCTTAGCATTTGTTCGTTGCTCGCCTCAGTAACTCATTGGTTAAAGGTGTTGCTGTTGCTCCTGGTTTCGAATTCCTGGTATAACTCAATTTGATCGGGTAGACCATAGAAGTCTGAACAAGTACTGCCCGTAAATAATATTGAATTGGACACTGAAAATGTGTTAGCCCCAAACTCCACGGGAGATATGGGATTTTAGTATTCTCCTTTTGATATAGACCTTAACTATAAATTTAAACAAAAATGTAACATTCATAGTTTGAATATAAAATTGTTACACTCTCAAATCTTTCTTAAAGTATTGGAAATTAATGATTATATTGACATAATGTTATTTTCACAACAACTTTACCAGGTAAATTTGTTCAGCGTAAAATCTTAGAGCCCTTAATTCGCGCGAGGTTTAGATAAAAAGTAGGTTAAGATTGTAATACGAGCTCTCAACTTGCTGAGTGATTTCCTATAACCGGTTCGCAGTAATCTTTCTAGTTAGAACTTCCCTCTCAGTTATTAATTTATATTTTCCTGCCATAGTAATATGTAATATTATATTGCCAAAAAGATGTTAATGTAATACCTCACGTTTCGATTTTAACTAATATATTTCGCGTTTTGACCCGAATTGATTTTTTTTATTATGGTTAAACTATTAACGATTTGTTTTCTTGTTTTGCTTTGAACGCTTACCTGTATGGCACAATTATGGCTACTTTATGCCTCGCTGTACAGTTGGGTGGTGAGTAGCGTCCCCCTCTATGGACCTCGGGATATTTCTTCTCCACCCAATCCAGCTCTATTTCCGTTTTATTCACAGTGACTGGACCTGCAACAATAATTGTGTTCATTGGGAACGCTTCCTAAGAAATTTTGAATCTTATAATAATAATAAATAAATATATTAAATGTCGCTCTTTTAGTTACCGCTTGTTTTGAGTCAGTTTCAGTAGATTTATGACTTGTGTTAAACGTGAAATTAAGTTATTAATATATCTATGACATATTATTCTATTATAATACTAATCTAAACATTGAAAGAAACAAATCATATAAGTTGACGTTAAGTAAATATCTGTAAATACTTGCAATGGCAGAGTACAGTTATAAGTTATTTGTGAAAAAAATTAATTATGAATACTATAATTTATTGCACATGATCGCATTATAGAAATTAAAAATCGATTTTGTATTGTAGGACACGGTAGCTCAATCGGTTAGAGCAACAGCACGGTCGCTATAGATCCGTGCTGTTGCTTCAAATCCTGTCCGTGTCGTAAAATTATTTCAATATAAAATCGTCTTTAAAATTATTATATTAAAGATGTCGAAATCTTACCTAAATCCGGCGGCATTTGATCACAAAGCGGCAGAGACGGTTCGTTGACCCTCACCGTGTCTTCGGTTGTCACTAAGTTTTTTATGCCCTCCATTATCTTGGTGAGCAAGAGTGGAGTACTGACGTATTCGGTCTCATTCCGTCGCGTCATATTTTGTGTAGAGTTCTGGCTTATTGTGTTGTTTGTTGGAGTATTGTGGGTTGAGTTTTGTATGGCTAGAGGTAGTCTAGGCCAAGGCTGCGAAGCTTTTTCGCTAGTTCTGAAACAAAGATGGGTTGGTGAGCATTCTTGCTTCAAAAGGTAATCATTGGAAGAAGAACAGCTTCACATAAAAATGTCATCTTGGTAATAGAGCATCTTAAATAATTTTGACATTAAATATTTGAAAAAATAACAAAATCTCTAGCGACTGTATAGAAGTGTTGATTATTTAATATGTAAATTAAAAAATATATATAGTGTTTATATATAAGATTAGGATGGCATGAGGAATACAATAATAAAACGTCAGGTCCAAAGAAATATACGTTAATTTCGAATAACTTACGGCTACCAAATATTCACTACTAGCTGTGTTAGCGACTTCGTTCGCGTAGAATAGTTGTTTTGGGCATCCAAATTTGTTTGTGTGCAAACCTCAACTTTTTTATAAATTTAAGCTGCCCACAATCATTAGCGAATCAGTAGTTCCCGTGTTTAACGCGTTCAAACAAACAAACAAACTCTTCAGCTTTATATATTAGTATAGATTTACAAACCCGTCCTTGTGACCTTACGGTAAGGTAACTGTTATTTCTAATAAGTGATTAATAATCCAATTATAAACACGAAAAACGTACAGTTAAAGTTGATAGTTTATCAATGACGGTATGCTGATAAACAGCTACGCATATAGTAACCTATTGAAGGATGTTTTACTATTCGCCTACGCAATTCACCTCCATAGACAATCACTCTTTCCTAGAGTCCTTACCCTCTCTATGCATAAAATATAAACACTGAACACTTTTGGAAAATTAGCTTCCCTCACATTGTAGGGTTAAGTGTTCTTACAAATTAGTATTTACGTATTTTTTTGTAGATAAAAACGACTTTTAACGTTACTTTTACAAAAACAGGTACTCTATTATTTCTGTAACCTTTTATCATTAGTAGCGCAAGTGTGTATGTTTGTAAAAGTCTTATTTGTAAATAAGCAAGTCAAGTTGAATAAAGATCAGTATATAGTTAATTATTAGGGTTTTTCTCATCGATTTTCCCTTTGTGATTTAAGGATCTAAGTTGCAAAAAGGCCGATATGAGTAATATGCTACTACTAATAATTATAATTGCCGGGGACTATTTGTCCATTGGTATCCAACTTTAGAGTTCAGAACGTAACGTTCTTAAATAAATAATTCTGTTGAACAAGCGGGACTAAACTGTCATCTTCTACAACATAATTGTCCCTTACTTGATCGTAGGTTGGGTCGCGTTGTAGACCGGAGTGTAGAGGTAGGTGCGTAGCGGAGACGCGTCCAGGATCGAACCGAAGAGGTACTCGACGGCGGCCAGCGCGAGCACCAGCAGCAACAGCAGCCTGAGCGCCCGCGCCGCTCGACCGCCGCCCGCCGCGCCGCCCATCAACGCATGCGCACCCAACACGGTCTTAAGCCCTATACAGAGGAAAGGAATTAAAAAAAAGTTACTTTTGTATTGTCGTAATGTTACCATGATTGAGTGTTTACAGACCCTGTACAGTAAAGTTAATAGAAACAGGCTGGCAGCGTTTTTATTCCAAATTCTATATTAATGCATTTAAACTAAGATAAAATAGAAACAATTTTATCTCCTTAGTACATGAGAGTATTAAAAAAATGACTAACAGTACAATATACAAATTATTTATAAACTAAAAAGTTTAAACTACATGACTACATTGACTATTAAATTGCTCCACGAAATACACAGGCTTTGATTATGAAACTTTCCAATCACTGTTTGTTAAAAAAGCCAGAAAAACGAAGTAATCGCGGACTAGCAAACGAGAACAGTGACCGCCTCACGTGCGCACTAATTAAAACTTTAATCTACTCATATTTTCCTATGGAATTCCATTTACCACGGTAATTGGAAATCTCGTCGTAAACAGCACACATTAAGGAAAAACAATTAGAAAATAAATGGCTTCCTTTGTTGTTATGGAAATGCGAAAACATTATGTAAAACAGTGCGGGTCTCAATTAAGTTTTCCCGGAACAAGTGATTATTGTATCTTTCAACTTAATACCTTTCAAAAGTGTATTTTCAACAAAGAACATTATTTATTCATTTTACTGTGAAGTTAAATTATCTTTATGAATCGTTCCAAAGAATTAATTTTATGGCACGAATTTAATGCATGTATTAAACAATCATGACTTTATTTCCGCAGCATGCTTATATTTTTTATCGAACTTAGTAAAATAAGGTTTTGTGTTACTATTTATTCCAATAATAACCAAGAAACAAAAATTTGTAACTGTAATTTGGAGTGATATAATTTTTGTGTTTCCTTTAAATTATTACCATTTTTGGTAGTAGTATCAATTTTCACAAGAAACGTCGAATCAAAGTAAATACAATGTTCCAGGCTTCGAACCCAGTCTTTCGAACGTAACGCATAAGGCAGCAGTAGAATGTTGAACCACAAGTGTTAAGTATAGAATATAATTCTAAACAAACAGAAGCCCCAAATACACACATACGTATTCGTGTGCTACACAGATATGCGCAAAAACACTTTTAACGGTTTAAAATGCGAAATATATTAGTTATGTTATTTTTAGTCTATTTTAACTACAGCGCGACGTAAAGTGCAACCTAAAATGTGGAAATGATCATCTTTCGTTCATTATTTGATATAGTAAAATATTATCAGCTGTAGGCTGGACTTAATTAAATAAATTACAAAAGAGGCTCATCCGACTATAACTACGACTTATAGACCATTCAAACAGGGTAAGTAGTCGATTGCTAATCCGTTATTCCGCTATACAACCAGAAGACTCACAACGTTGTAAACACCCGTCTTAACTGAAGGGTCCTTTCCGCCTACTGGCCCATGAAACATACAGTCAGCTGTAATGGTAAGGCTTAGCCCCTATTCGGAGGTTTATTGCACATTATTCTAACGGGAGGCCACAGCGCCTTTAGGGCGTGTTTATGACTGCTTTTTTGGAATATAGCTCAATTCCTTCGAATACTTTTTTTTATAGCTTATTCGAATCATGTAAATAAATCCAAACATGTCGTACATTTTTCCATATAATCGATTATTAATTAATAAATTCAGTATTTTATTACATTAACGCGGTTGCTTGGAAGAGATAGATATTTATAAAGACGCCGTTTGTTCTATTTTAGATCAATTTTATTGTTCTTAGTGTCTTGTTTTGTAACAATACAGATTACTTGTTTTAAATCAAATTAATAAAAACACCAGAAAATAGATTCAAAACAAATTTTAACCGTTCAAATATTGAACTATCTAATGTAGTTATTAGTAACTATTTAAAGATTAGGGGCGCGCGGGGGATGGCTCCTCGTGACCTCGTAGTAATAATCTTAAGTAGTCCAAAATCCTAAATAAATTAGGAAGTTTCATGATGTATTTTACAATGAGTGCAAATGAGAACCGGCCTTTCGTAAGGGCAAGGGTCGTAGAGTAATGAATCGGCTCACCTGGGATGTGTAATGTAAAGACGGTGCTCTGTGGAAGTGGCCCATTTTCCTTAAGATCGGTCACGTTGTTCGTAGAGCTGATCGAACGCCATGGTCTGCAACAAAATGTCACTTTTATATAAATTAACAATCGCTTATGAATTAAAAAAAAAATTAAGACTCGAGCAGGACTTGAACCAGCATCTGAAATTGAGCAACCGTAATACACGTTATCGTCGATTTTTTTAAACCTATTGATCCATGCACCTCTAGCGCACTTTTATATATTTATATAATAATTAAGAATAAACTTTATTTAATAATATTGAATAGTGGCAAGTCATAGTTTAATTACGATATTTTGTAAGATTTTATATTTGTATGTTGTTTGTAAGTACATTTGAAGAGAGTTCCTTTTTAAATTCATCTATAAATAAATTACGTTTTAACTTGTTGGATTAAAGCATTTTCGAATACACGTAACTAACAGATAAATACAATAAATATAAAGCTTGGAGCTCGCTTCTAATCCCACAAGCCTCTCCCAATTGGAAAAGCTCTTTTAGTTTATTTATCGGCAAATGTTTCAGGTTACATATAATATCTACTAGTTCTGGTACTCTCAAGTGCGCTTCGTAGTTTTTAAAACAGAAATTGTGGGACCGATAAGCGAATAAAAACATTTACTTAGCTTTTACTCGGTGATTAAGAGGCCTCGACGGGTAACTGTAATTAAAGTTGTTCAAAGAACATTCTAGAGGGGAAATTAAGGCAAACACAAGTGATCTACGTAGTAAATCAACCCCTCCCTTGTCTTCATTATATTATATAAAAAATGTCTAATCTAATAACGACAACTAAGTTTTTATAGCGATAGAGGAGGACAGACAACCCTCCAGAAATAAGGTGTCTGTTAAATGGTATGAAATCTATCTGTGTTGCTGACAGTTATTTTATAGGTATTTCTATTGCTAAATTTCCCATCTAATTTACTATTTTAAACAGTGTCCAAATGCAAGTATCATCCTCAGCGTCAAAGCTGAGCTTGAAGTTTCCAATTTACGCAGAGTAAACAGAATATAGAGGCAAATAGACAAATAAATCTACATCAGTATTTGAACTAAAGCAATTGCAGCAAGTTTATGAGTTCTCAGTGGTTTGCGGTCGCACATGTTACAGTCTCCCTCCCTTTATCCAACGTTTGGACCGAAACTATGTGTGGGAGATAAGAGCCATTTAGTGACGTCAGTGTTGTATATTAACACTTGTTATTAAATAAGTTGAGTTGCGTAAGTAAGTGCGTAGCAAAACAACGCATAGACAAGTTCATTATAAAGTAGGTACTATAATTACAATATACAATATCTTTTTAAGCTGGAATATTATTTAATTTTTATATATTGCGTAACCAGCTGTGCCAGCGACTTAGTCCGCGAGAATCGTTATTTTGAGCATCCAAATTCGTCTTTGCAAACCCCACCATAATTATAAACTTAAGCTATTACCCACGACGTCCATTTCCGTCGCTCTTGCTAGTTAATTTTAAAATATAGACATATAGCGTCGCGAACTTTTTTTAGATCATTCAAAGACAAATCATTCTTTCATACATATTTTTTCAATTCGAACATGTAGTTTCTTAGATTAGCGTGTTCAAACACACAAACAAACAAACTCTTCAGATTTATATATTAGTATAGGTTCTTAAGTTAATTTATCTTACCATTAATTTGTTATATTTACGTTTGTGCAAAAGCAACTTACAAATCTATGTATCTCGTTAGTTATGTGTAAAAAGGTGTTTCATATAACGTTTCCGATTTCCCAGAGCAATCAGTGAATAATTTATCTTTGTTATCACATATTGCACATTTAAATGCAAACTTCGTTACTCCGCAACAAAAGAGATTCACAACAGAATTAAACTTTTGTCCTCTTAAATAACCACGTCACGTTCATCCTTGTGGAATACATTAACAACTTTTTGTTCCTGAAACAACAATATCAAATCTGTTTGTTTATTAATATGTCTCTAAATATACCGAAAATTATAGAGTAACATTGTAATTACTAGCAGATGACGCGAGTAAAATTTTGTACATCGTAAAACAACGGTATTTACCCGAGAATAAATAGTTAACAGTAAATAAGGCGGCAAATGCTATATAAATTTGTATTATTATTTAATACTCTAACTGGATTCCTTTATTCATAATAAAACATACCTACCAACACTAATAACCTTCCTACAGTAATACTAAAAAGATATATGTGTCTCGCTCAAAACTGTAGAAAGGTTGGTTTGATAATATAATTATAATAAATAAATAATTCAATAAAAAATCAAATATCTCTATTTCCGATAATTTAAATGATCTACGTTATACGTATACGCATTGTTCCACGTTATAGCAAACACAGGCGAACAAGGATAAATATAATATTTTCAGTAATTTAATCCTTAAACCGCGCACGTGGTATACACAAAGCTGTTTAACATTTATTTTAGGTTAGCTTGCAACCTCGAGTTTTAAACACACGATGAAAATAATTCATATTAGCTGCCTTTCCTGCCTTTGCCATGTAAAAAAACAAATATATATATACGTGGCTGTGTACATGGCAAATAAAAAGTTTCAAAGTTAAACATGGGTAGAACCAACAGCGCGAGTCAACGAGGGTCCATTTAAGCTTATTTTGTGCATCTGTTATTTTTATTGTTAGCCTTTCCGTTTAAAATTCTATGGATGTAGGAATAAATTATCCTTTTTTACGGAGGGATGGGTGGATTTGGAAAATTGTTATTTTCGGTATTAACTCGCAGATGTGGGATTTCCTTTTGACGCCAATAATTGTTCACTTACGCACATATTCATAGATGTAGGGGCTAGCATGAATCATTTCAATTTGACGCACAAACGAATGAATAAATAACAGAAACGAATGAAAAAACGAATAAAAGCCAACGGAATAGAAGCGTAAAAAATATGGGATCGTTAAAGCGAAGCTGCTGTGTAATGGCGGCATTAAAAGATATTTACTAAATGAAAATGTACTAAGACAACCAGCATAGTTGTGGGACACGCGATTCGGTTCGTTTTGTTTCGTAATTAGACGTTCATTGTACAATCCGAAACAATATAGGAAGTTTTTAGTGAAAACTTATTTAGAGGTTTTGTGTATTTTTTTATTGGTAAAAACTTTTAGATCACATACGTTGAATATCATCAGTTGAAACGTGGTGTCGCTCTAATTTTGCTTCGGACATTTCGATATATTTGACACGATATTTCAAATATGAGCACGCACAGATTATTTCTATATAATAGAAAGGAGTAAAGAATAAAATATCTCCATCCTATCTTCTTTTAAAACCACTTAATAAAACTCTAAACAAAACAAAATTTGTACTTTTATACTTACGTAGAAAGTGCAGACGAGGTTTTAAAAGATCTTTACATTATCCTCACCTCACAGAACATGACAAACTGTCATGAAAAGACTCTGCGTTCTTCATATATGTTTTTGCAGTGAATGGGAACAAGGAGTAATTGTCTTACCCCAACAATAAGTGTAGCCTCAGCTGCTTCCTTTGCAAAAAAATAAGCAAAATCCTTCAAGAACCGTGACATGTACGCGAATAATGTTCGTGGTGTTTCTGACGTAGCTGCCAATAAATTATACACCTAACGTAATTCGTATCAATTACGTGTACTGGGTTGTAGTGAGACACACAGAATGCATATCATCAGTAGTTAACGATAACCTCTAAAGCACTACGACAAGGTTTTTGATTTGACGCCTATTCTGATAATACTGTATATTTAGTGAAGTATTACATTAAATTAAAACACGATGTTCCTTATAAGTTTACAAATTTGACACTGATATTATATTACAATACAATACGTTGACGTCGACAATCTTAACGTTTGTTGATGATTGTAAAGAATCGTCTTAAATGTTGATAAAATTACTTTAAAATAAATTCAAGTTACAGTTCAGTTCATTTTCATTTTATGCAGAATATTAATATTATCTCTGTTAAAAGTAAATAAAGCAAAACACACCTACTGTACCATTTACACTGTGCCACAAGCGCGGTAATTCGGTAATTCAGCAGCGACGCGTGATCCGGAAGGGTTCGCCGTTCATTTAATTATCCCCCCAACCGTCACTAATCTCGACGTCACTCTCGACTTGTGAATTCATAAATCAATTTTGGGATAAAAAGGTTTTTATAGCCTTGTGTCTACTACCTCCTTGGTGGCCTACGTGCACAGAGGATCTTGATTTCAGTATTTTTTATTCGATCGAGCTTATATGATATCATCAGTTCTACATAGACCACATAGCGTTTTATAGTTTCCACAGTTGGGCAATAGTGACGTCCTCTATCACGTTAATAACATTTTGTGACATGTGGCTGGCACAGTAGAAAACTTTTGAGTCGCATAAAAATGTATTGGACATTCACTCCGAACTCTAATTTTTAACCCGTACTAACGCTCCTACTAAGTGCGCGATTTTTACTCGTTGGTCTAATGGTAACAATGTATGGCTAATAATCAACGGGTCGTGGGTCGATCTCCACCGGAACCAAGTTATTTTAAATCAATTTGTATTTTTCTGAAATATGTTGACCTTCTGGAAATCTTTTAAATGGTATACGGTACGCTCATAGGTTGACAGTGCGTCTATAATTATGTGGTATATAGTTCACAAAAAAGCCATGCCTGTTTGTCGTTCATCATAAGGAAATATATATGATACTCTTAATCTCAAAATAGAAGTAATTCTCAAAGAGATATAAAAGAAGATTCTCATTTAACGATTACATGTACTTAACGTCTCATTCGTAATCTTAAAGCTCTTTTCAAAATTAATTTAAACTTCCTTTTCTTCGTGTACATAAATGACGGTTGAGAGAACGCAGAGTGCGCCACAGACTCAAAATATAAAATCTGCAAGACTACAATAAAAGCCTCCTCTGAATACGAATTCATCAGGAGCGTAAAAGAAATGTGCCAACTGTCAGCAGAACTCAATGCATAATTGGGTTACGTGGTGAAAGAGCGGATTATTTTGTATTTCATAAAGATGCTAACTGACCTGGCAAACGTTCTTTTGCCATGTGAAGTAAAAAGACGACGAAATTTGATTACAGTAACAACGTTTTCTGCGAGTTAATCTTACAAGATAGACATATACTGTCGCGGACATTTTAAGTTGTTTAAAGAAGAATATCTTTTTAGTACCTTTAACCGTTTTCGTAGCACACACGATGGAATCGCTCAGAGATGATTATTTTCTACATTTCTCACTGTTCCTTCACACCTATTGGCTGCGCCTAAATTTTTTATAGTCTACTCGATAAATAATCCAACCAACATAAAAATAATTTCAATAAGAACTAGAGTTCCTGATATTAACGCGTTCAAACTTAACAAATTCTTCAGATTTAAAAATTTGAATCGACAACTTTGTTTTAATTTATTTTCGGTGCTGCCCAACGTTTCGAATGCTTTGCAGCAGCCGTGGTCACGGGGGCCTGAAGACGGAGGGTGTCCCTAATGCCAAAATCAAATCTACAACGCTAGCGCCACCAGTAAAGTCGACATTTGTTCTAGTAAAGTAATATATTTCTCATTTTAACCGTTTAAAAGTGTTTTATTTAAATAAATAGTTAATGTAACGAAACCGGTAGTGCGCGAATCAGACTTGCACTTGGTTCATACTTTTACCACTGTTTCACTCAAGGAAATGTCCCGTAACTTTGTGAATGTTAGACAATATTAACATTTACATTTTGCAAGGTCCGTCAGTTACGAGTTAACGAAAGTAGTTTCATTATTTGTTTTGTGAATGAAACGACTTTACAACTGCGACATCAAGCAAATTTACATTTTTAATAAGGGTTAAAATGTCTAGTTTTGCTTATTGTATTTCGTGATATAATATAATAACAAATATGTATTATGTTAGGTTATACCACGGAAGTATTTTTTTTTATGAAACAGACTTGAGGAACGGGACTCGATAAAAAAGTGAACAGTACAAGCGATAGCACGTGAGGTCTGGGTTCGAATCCTGTGGAAACAATAAGTGGTTTCGATTAGACGGAGCACAGAAGTGTTGCCAACTACTTGCTATTAAATTAAATCGATTACTCGAACAAACAAAGTGTTTTCACAATGCCCCATTCTCCAGCACTTTTATCTCTGTCCCTAGTATTCGTTAGTCGGTTGCATAAAAAGCTACAGCTTTGGATATCACCTATCCGAAAAGGCTTGAGAAAATGGACCAGTTCCAATCTATCACAATTTACAGGCAGCCGGCTTAATGAACAATTCTGTAGCGCTCCTGCTTTCAACATCATTGTTACACAGCTTTTGTGCGAGGCTACAGTAAAACCTATTATTTTTGCTCGAAAATGCAAGCAAAGGCTGACTTTTCATACTATTTAGCGACGATAAAGGCTCGAAAAGGGACGTTCGTATAATAATATAGAGAAAGTGTTTCTCGTACTCTATTACAACTAATGTTTATGTTTTTCGAGAGAGGAGGACAGGAACAAGTCATACCCTATTTTGGTTTTGGACCGAAACAAAAATGCGATTAATCTTCACGGCTGTTTCATCTGTGAACGCTTCGCAACCCGGACGGAATTTCGATATTCGTTCGGTACGAATCGAACCCAAACCATACGCTATAATTACACCAAGGAGCCAGTGTTCATATTTAATTTTTGTTCTTTGTTTCGCATAGATTCCCATTTTAACCATTTATTTATATGAATATTTTTAAACGTCTTTATAATAAGTTGTTAATTTCATCCACCACTTTTTTTTTACTCTTGACCACATAAGTAAAATATGTTGGAGCAATGAGCGCGAGATGATCTGAGTTCGAATCTAGGAGAAACTAGTTTCAGACTTACAAGTGTGTCTAGTAGAGCACATTTCTTTAATATCAATACATTGGTGACAAAGAAAATGTTCTTTATAATTTGTGGTTAATATAAAAAGATTTTTCTGTTAGCGGTACTCTATCAATTTATAAAATAAAGAACATCTCTTTGTAAGCCGATTACAATATTTTATTGGTAAAGTCGTTCAAACAGGGTCACATAGCCAAAAAGCTTTTTCAAAGGAGTTTTATGCGATTCGATTTCAAAGGAAATAATGCATACTATTAAGGAAAATGTGTAATATAAGATCTTTAGTTACTTTGTATACCATTGAAGGGTTGATTTTATACATAAGAAAAATCTTATATCTCACTGTGTTGCTATTTCACCTTCTATAAGGAATCTTAATTTATATTAAACAAAAATCAGCTTTGTAAAAAAGGTATTGTTAGTAGTTGCAAATTTAAATAAAACACTTCAACGGTTTGAATCGCGAACATGCAGAATTTTTTTATCTTGTAGTTAAAAATAAGCGACTTATAGCATAACGAATGTATTTCGCGTTATGAAAAGTTTAAATTGTTTTATTGAAATATGTACTACAGTTATGTACGGTCTATGGTCTGTTGTTTCAACATTGCGTCGGATTAATATTAATGCTTATTTTTATTGGGTACTATGCCTTGAAAATTAGTTTAGGTTTAAACAATTTACACGTTAAGTTAAAAAAATGATTGTGTTTCTGCAAGTAGCATAATAATATTCCTCGTATTTTTATTCCTCTTGTATTATTTTTAAGACCTGCGTGCCCCAATAGCAAAATCAACCAGTGGTATTATGTTCGAATCGCGAGAATACACAGTAGCGTCACAGCAAGAAACATTTATCTAATTATGCCTATATATAATGGATTGCATATAAAAATCTGTATACGCGTATAGTAAACAGAATTTAGCCTCCTTGTTTGATTATATATTGATTTTTAAAGCGTCTACGAAAAACTACGCCAGACACCTACGGGGGCTCTACGCGGTTGGCACTTGGCAACGTCTCACGACACGTGTCAAAACTTCCAAGGCTACGCTTTCTGAAAGCTTACTTTGGAACTTGGGAAGAAAAGAACAAGGAAAGCATTAATATTGGAGTAATGCGTTTAAATTTTTTAAAAGCTTAACCAGGTGTTGGAATTCCAAAATTATTTTTTATGATTTACATTTAAATTTTATCAAGGCTGGTCATGGTCAACGGGTTGGTCGCCCTTTTTTTAAAAAATTTTTTTAAAGGGGGCCCCCCCGGGGGGAATTTTTCTCGGGGGGTTTTTTTTTTTTTTAAAAAAAAGAAAAAAAACCCAAAAAAATTTGGGGGTGATTGTTTGAGCCATAATTTATACTTTTCATTAAGGGTAATCAGTTTAGAAGAATTCTTATATCATGCGTATTATTCTGTTACGTACATACATTGCTTTATTATGTAATAAACCGTTTAAGTATTATAAATCAAATCAGAGTATGCTGGTTAATTACGTGGACAATGTTTATTAATTATTACTTAGACTAAAATGGAGATAACCAAACCTACCCTTTCCATGTCTAGTTAATGTATAAACA